ATCAGCTGAGTCATCTGAAAGGAGGGGACCTCAGTTGAGAACATGGCTCCATAAGATCCAGCTGTAGGGCATTTTCTTAATTAGTGATGGATGTGGGAGGGCCCAGCCCACGGTGGATAGTGCCATCCCTGGGTTGGTGGTCCTGGATTCTATAAGAAAGCAGGCTGAGCAAGACATGTTGAGCAAGCCAGTAAGCAGCAGTCATCCATGACCTCTGCATCAGCTCCTGCCTAGTTTGGGTTCCTGCCTCAATGGACTATGACTTCCCTTAATAGACTGTGACTCTGCGTATGTAAGCCAAACAAAACCTTTCCTCCCCAGGTTGCATTGGTCATGGTGCTGCATCATAGCAATAGTAATCTTAATTGGACCACTCACCATAATGTGCTACCGTAAGTCCAAAGAGGGTCAACCAAACATGGACCCCCAAACCCCAAACTGAGTCAAAGCAAATGTTTGCTTTTTCTAAGTTGGTTATCTCGGGTATTTGTTACAGTAACAGAAAGAAGACTGCCTCAATGAGTCCAGAGAAATGAATGGGGGCGGGGGATGGGACGTGGGGAACGGGAGGCCATTAAAGGCACCTGGATAGCACGGCTGAGGAAGAAGAGAATGAAGAGGCTGTGTGTCCAAAGAGAAGAAAGAACTTTCCAGGCCAGGCACAGAGGCACACGCCTTTAGTCCTAGCACCTGGGAAGAAGAGGCAGTGGATCTCCGTGGTTTCAAGGCCAGCATGGTCTACGTATGAAGCTCCAGGCCATCTAGGGTTACATAGCGAGACACTGTCTAAAAAAGAAGGAAAATGGGAGGAGGGGAGGGAGGGAAGAAGAGAGAGGGGAGGGAGAGGGGGATGGGGAGAGAGAGGGAGAGAAGGGAATGAGTTTTCAGAGCTGTGGAACGGCCTTGACTCAGTGCTACTTTCTCCCGACCTACTGCTTCCTCTGGCCTCTTTGGTTCCAATAGGAACACAGGAATAAAAGACACATACTGCCTGTCTTTTATGACATTAAAAAAAAAAAAAAGACTTCAAAACTGGGTAGAGTGGCTCATGCCTTAATCCTAGTGCTTGGGAGGTAGAGGCAGAAACAACGGAAGTTCAAAGTCAGCCTTGTTATATGGTGAGTTTGAGGCCAGCCTGAGCTACATACAACCAACCCTTTTTTTGTCTTTAAGGGAATGAGAGGCAGTTGTCCACCCCTTGGGCTGTGGACAGTCTCCCCCAGGACCCGGCGTCTGCACTTCTGAGCTGGCTTCTCACTGGGGCTGTGCCCAGCAGGAAGCTGACTTCTCTGACCTCGGAGGACAAGGGGGTAAAGAACTTTCCACCTGCCCCAGGAAGTGACCCCCCCTCCCACCTCCCATTATCTTTAGGCGTTTCCTAGTTGTGCTTGAGAGATACCTCAGAGAGACTGGCATTTGTTTGGAGTTTTCTATACTGAAGTCCGTGCTAGGCAGATTGGCAACACTGCTTCCGTGTGTGTGTGTGTGTGTGTGTGTGTGTGTGTGTGTGTGTGTGTGTGTGACATCACATAAACGAGTTGGAAGAACCCTGTAAAGATAAGGGCAATGGTAGAAAGGATGGAGGGTGCTGTTTCCTTTCTAATATCTTCCATGAATCACAGCCCCAAAGGAAGACAGAAAACAGACCCTGGCGCAGGGGTGAGGCACAGGGCTGCCGTGGGGGTGGGGGTCAGATCCCCGCCATGGTGTTGCCAGGGCTGGGGAGAGTGGGAGGTAGGAGGCAGTAGGGCTGCCCTAAAGGGTGGGGTTGGGGGGCTAGCCTTGATTGACATCTAGTTTTGTAACTGTAATTACATACACTGTGTAAATCCATCAGCGCTGGTCCCCACTCAGTTTGCCAGCACCTAATTAATACCTAATGTGAGAGTCCAGGACAGCCAGGAGCTTGGGGGAGTGATGATGATGACCCGCCCACCCCCAATAAAGGGACTACTTCAACCCTGGAGGACTCCTTCCAGGAAAATCCTTCTCTTCCTTCTCCTCATCTACCCAACGTGAAAACAAGGGCCGAGAGTCCGAAGTGGAGCTTCCTGGGGTAGAAAGGTCTCTCTGCAGAACCTGCTCTCTTCATTCTTGTGCTTTGGAAGTTCCTTCTGTGGATGCAGCTGAGCTAGGGGCCTCCAAAGTTCTCCTGAAGGGCTTTTCAAAAGAGTGAGATGGTATCAGGGCAGGAGTCTGGAGGAATTAGACTGTAACTCTTGATTGCTAGCCTGTCGGCCCAATGGCTTTGATAACGGGGACAATTGCCCCCAGCTTAGAGGATGAGGAGTTAAGGAGCCGAGGCAGGGGATCACTCAGTGTTTCACCCACAGTGCTCTTCTTGTTTGATGAAAACTCCTGCTGTCCTCCATGAGGACATCTGAGAGTGGAAGAGTTTCTGGTGGAAGCCAGGAGAGGGGAGGGAGGGGACCAGCCATGGCGACCTGGCTTCTGCTTCTTTTTATAGCAATGGGGATGGGGGCTGGAACCCAGGATCCCCACATGCTTCAATGAGCTACACCCCAAGCCCGGCCTCACTTCTTCATGACAGGTGGCAGAGAGGTGTTCCATGAACCCAGGGGAAGTCCTCAGTGGTCCCCTCAGTAGGACTGGTCCTCACAAGGTAAGGGCCACATGTGTTCCTTAGCTAACTTGGTAGTGAGGATGAGTATGAGGATGGGAGGTGTAGACAGGGAATGAGAGGGGTGTGTGTGGGGGTGCGGGGCAAGCAGACCTGAGGGAAAACAAGGACCATGGCTACTGGTGAACCCTGTGACCTCTTTTGAGACATGTAAGGGCCCAGCTGGTTCAACTGAGTGCTGTGCAAGATGTCCAGAAGGTCTCAGACACTGTTTGGCACAGTCCACCATGGTGTTGAGGCAACAAGTGGGTCCAGAAAGGTTTAACTTCCCTTGGCCACGTGGTGAGTTTGTGGCCCAGCAGTGCCTGGGAGCTTCTGAGCTGTGGTTCATCTCCTGCTTTTGCTGGTTAAGGTTTAGTATTCCCTTTTTCTCAATGCAAGCAAGCTGAGGAAGGATGCGTGAGGTAAAGTGACCAGTACTAGGTGACCTTGGCTTTGGGGTTCAGTTTCACATTTCCTTGCTTTATTTACAGAACTGTCTGATGCCTTGGGCAGACTACCTGTAGGGCTCAGTAGTGAGAGAAAGTTCTAGACAGGCAAGGCCCACTGTGAGCCCTCGCTTGCTGCCCCCACTTCCTTCTTTTGGGGGTGGCAGTTGCTGGACAACAGGAGCCTTGCAGGAGCAGATCAACGGCCTCAGATAGGAAAGCTTTATCTCTGAGGTTATTGCAAATGTGCCTCGGTCTACTACTGTCCAGATCTGAACTGGTAGCCAGATAAACTGCTGTGTCTATCAGGTCTAAACAATTGTCGGAATGCAATTAGCCCTGGGAGGCCAGTGGCTCCCGATAAGCAATGCCCACAGCTGGCTTTTGCTGAGGACTCAGCGCTGCTGTGGACACCGTCATCGCCCTCTCTAACACGTTCAGAGCCTCCTTCCCCCCGTACTAAATTTTAAAGGGGATTTGATGTCCTAACACATTTGTTTTGGTGTTCTTTGCCCATAGTGGGAAATAAAACCCGATGGCTTTTATAGGTGGATAAATCCTTTTAAAAGGTCCTTTTGTTATCGCCATGGCGTTTGTGTGCACTAAAACTGAGTTTTAAGGGACCAGTGAAACCCTAGAATCACAGTTTGCTATTTCTGGAAGGGACCCTGAGTACTTGGTGCTCAGCCCCTTCCTGGTATAGACAGAGAATCACAGCGCAAGGGCCTGGGACTTGTCAAAGCAACGTGTTTGTGAACTTTGGGCAGATGTGGCTTGGAAGCTTGGTGTGGCCACTGACCTGGGCCTGACCTTGGATAAACTCTGGAGCCACCATTTCCTCATCTGTTGCAGGGAAATCCACAATCTGGACCTCACAGCATTGTTGGGAGAGAGGAACACTGTTTCCCCTGGTCAAGGTCACCCAGATAACCGAGCAGGCCAGAGCCAGAACTCTGGGCTCACATCCTGGACCCCAGGTTTTCATTCTTTCCACTTCGGGGCTCTTCCTTCATTTTCTATTTACCATCCAATAGAACTGGATTCTCCTTTGTCCCTCTTGAAGTTCAGCAGGCCTTACATGTTGCACCTCCAGATGGTCTGAGGCACAGTTCTGCTCGGACTCATGTTTATACGATGACAGCATCTATATTTTTTCTGGATGAATTAATAATCGACTTGCCATTGTATTGAGGGAAAAACCAGACATCACCTCATGGTCTCAGAAAGGGAGCGTCATTTCTCCCGTTCCTTTTGGCAAATGTGCTACTTAGATTTAGTGGCAGCAGGAGAGGTCTACGTGAGTTTTTGTCCAGCTGAAGGGTGTCACTGGGCCACAGGCAGGAAACACCCCATTCCTACCCCATCCTGCCTCATGGCTTTAGAGATTGGGGTTCTGACTCTGAGTGAGGTCCCATGGCTGTCTCAGCCTGAGTTTGAGGCCTTTGCCTGGGTGTCGTCTGAGCCTAGGACACTAGGTGGCGCCACAGGAACATCCTGTGGCTCGGCAGCCGCTGGCTAGGATGCACGTGGCCCTGGGAAATCCTTCAGCTTTCCACCAGCTCCTTCAACCAGATCTCTCCATCCTCCCGTGGCTCCAGTCTTAGGGCATCCCAGGTGCTGCACAGAGGGCCAAGGGGGATCACAGCTTGTTGCTGTGACCCAGCGTTTGAAGGACCGAAAGGCTAAGTTCTTTTACCTGGGTTCACTCCTTGCTCCGTTACTAATTCCTCATTTGCTTTGAATGGCATCAGCAGGAGGGTTGGAGTGTTCAGCAAGAGGCTGTGGAGGCCTAAAGATCCAACTACCACCCCCAACCCCCCACGCCCCCTCCCCGCCCCGGGCTCCTGTGTGCTGGCCACAAGAGCCTGCCTGGGATTGTGAGGTGGTAAGGGGTAACACCAGGTTCAGGCACTGTGTCCCACCCCTCACTCATGCCCTGTGTGCCCTGTGGGGTCCGGCTGGAGCTTCTCAACTTTCTGCTCACACCCGGCTCTTTTTCATGGGAACTACAGATTCCGTCACATCTCAAATGACAAGGTGGTTTTCCCAGTGGCTGCCCCCATACTTCCGGGTCACCATATCCTTTGCCCCATTTAGGCAGCTCCTTGGCCTCTTGGCCTCTCGGACTTGAGTCCATGCCCTCTACCACGAAGCTCCTAGCCTTCGCCACCGTTCTTCCACTCTCCACCTTTGGCGCCCTGACAGTTATCACCCTGAGCCTATAGTCACCATTGTGTTCCTTTGCCAGGATACCTCCCTGCAGAGTGCTAATGTAAGACACGCAGGAGTGGGGATGTCCCCCAGCCCATACCACGCTGCCTCGCCCAGGTACTCTGGAGAACCTGATGTGAATTCTGGGGTGATTGGTTCCTTTCCTGCCTCCTTTAAGCTGAAAGCACACAGAGGTATACTTTTAGCCTGTTGGATTGGGGGCGACAACTTCAGAACATTTTTTTTTTCTTTCCCAGAAACTATTCTGTATATTACAACATCTGTGCCTAGGGCAGGGCTGGGTGTTGCTGTTGGCTGGGACCACAGGTCCAGGGAAATAATTCCAACATGCACTTTGACCATGAGATCAAAGGCATGATGGGCAGAACATGAAGGGCTGGGTTGGCAGAAGAGAAAGAGCCAGAGAAGGCAAGGTTCCAAGATCGGGGCTTCCATGTGGCTGCCTTCTGGCCTCTGTCTTACCCTCTGCTGCAGCAGAGCTGAAAGATGGTGAATAAGGATCTTCAGCCTCAGTTTCCCACCACTGCCTATGTCACAGGAAGTACGATCTATACTGAAGTACCCCAGCGGCAAATGAAAAGAGTCAGTAAACAGTACCAGTCACTGCCAAGCCTAAGCCCATGGCCCCGCCTTTTACAATACTGACCTTGCAGAAATCAAAAGGCATGTTTTACATGCCTTTCCTCTCCAGGGTGGAAGGGAGGGCATCCCAGTGCTCTCCAAGAGGATGTGGCCATGCACAGGAGATAAAACGTGTAACACTATGTTTCCTTATTCCTGCAATGGAGTTTTAGCCAGATCCTTGCCTTCTGGAATGTTCTGAAATACCAGATGCTATTGTTCTTTCACACCACTGGGAGGATTCTGCCTGTGGCAGTAAGTCCTTGTCCTTGTCTTCTATGCAAGTCGGCATAACTGGTCACAGTTTCAAAGAGGGAGACCTGGTAAACCATCCTTTGGCTAGACCCCCAACATTCCTTCACCTGGGAGTGCCTGTGCAGCAGAAAGTCCTTGGTTTCTTCTGGAGCATTATCCATGTGCTATTAGGGAATGCCTGCTCTTGATTCAAGAATTTAAATATTAGGACTGGAATGTAGCTCAGTGGTATACACTAGGCCTAACAGATATAGGGTCCTGGGTTGATCCTCAGCACTACCAAAAGGGGTATCACCTCCAAATGCTACAGGGAGCTCAGGAGGTCTCACTAGCTAGTCCATGGATGAAACCAAAGGACTTGATTGGATTTCTGCTGGGATACCTTTTCCAACAGGTAAACCCTCCTTCAGCTTGGGACTCTGAACATCACTGTATCCGTGAGAGCTGCCTGCCTCAGGTAGACAGAGATGGCTGTCTCACAACTCTTCTCTCTGTGTTCCCCATCCTCTGGTCCCTGTGCCCTTTATTCATGCTATAAGTGAGACTGAGGCAGCAGGCCACCCCTAGGTATGAAAGCCACAAATTATTAATGCTATGCTCAAGGATGGCTCCTTTGCTTGCTAGCCAGCTTTAAACAGCAATATTAAAACTGCCTTGATTATTTTGAGAAGGTGGCCCAATTAGAAGCTATATACTCCTTCGATGTATGTGTTTATACGTAGCGCTTTAGATAAAATACATATTTATAAGTATGCACATGGTGTGTGTGTGTGTGTGTGTGTGTGTGTGTGTGTGTGTGTGTGTGTGTAGCAATTTAATTACCTGGGCTAAATTATTAGAAGAGATACCCAGGAGTGAGTCCCTTATCAGGTGCTAGATTCAGAGCAGAGCCCACCACTGAAGGGCATGCTGTTGGTAGCCCCACAGTGGAAGACCCAATGCACAGAGCCCTGTCCCAGTGTCAAGAGCCAGCGTCCTCGGCACAAGCTGATTCTGACCTCTGCTGTGCTCCGAGGGTGTCCCTTTTCTATTGAGCTGTGGGTTGGGGAACACCAACCACAAGTGTCCTTGCCGTAGCCCTGGAGAGACGTTGACTTCAGGCTTTTGTTTCCGGAGCTGGCTGTCTCGCCTTCCTAATGAGCAAATATGTTCTCTTTAAGGAAACAAACAAACAAAGCAGAAACACAAATTCATCTGGATTTTCTTCATTTGTTTTAGATACAAACAAACAAAAGGAGGGTGGATATTTCTTCACCAACTATTTCCAATTCGAGTTGCCTCATGGCTCGGGGTGCTTGTCACCATAGGACCCACAGGGCCAGTTCCAACTGTTACTCAGTAAGGCTTTTTTCTTTCCAAAATTCCCAGTGTTCCTTTAAGGCCCATTTAGCTGCGGGTTTTGTTTATTCTCCCGGCAATCAGCATTTAAAATAAGACAAACAAGCATTTTTCCTGGGCTGTTGAATCCCTGCCGGCCAGCCTCCACCTGCACACCTGAAGCCTATGTGTCCAATTGAATTTCTCAGTAACCTAGAGCCCCTTCAGAGACCTGCCCCCTCCGCCTGTCAGACTGGGAATCAGGAACTTGAGCAGCGTAAATGCAATTTTAAGAATTGCTAATGACGCTAGAAATCTGCAATGCAATTAGCGTCATTGGATTTGGCTCTCCTCCGAAGGCACAAACCTCCTTGTCATACTGCGGTGGTGGAAGAGGCAAGTGGGTCCATGTGTGCCCAGCCCAGCCCTGGGTATGCTGGCAGCCCCTTCGCACCAAGATTGAAACGGTTGGTTTGGCTTCCTCTCCTTCTCTCCTGTAGCTGCCGACTTCTTTGTCTCTTTTCTGGGTCGTGGGGGGTTAGACGGAGGGTTGGACTGTAACCTTGCATAGCCAATCTTCCAGGAGAGTCGCTCTGTTATCTAGGAAATTGGGCCCCACTCTGTGAGCTCATTTTGCTCCCTAGTATTTCAGTCCAACCTTGATTCCTCTTGTTCTGGACCAGTAATTTTGTCGGGGTTCATTGTCATCTCTGTAGTTATGGGGACCCTCCCAGCACCATTACCCACCATAGGAGCCTTCCCTCTCTCTTCTCTTCTCTCTCTCTGTCTTGCTGTCTCTTCCTTCCTCTCTCATTCCCCCTCCACCTCTGATTTCCTTGTCTTTTTCATGTTCCACAGGTGAGAAGAAGATAGTCCATGAAGAGAGGCAGAGGTACAGGCAATGGGGGTGGGCTATGAAAGTCAACTATGGGATTAAAAACAAGCCCTTACTTTTTCATAGGAAAATTATTTTTGCTTCCTGGAAAAATAACACGGGCCAAGCATGCAAATCCTGTTAGCTGCCTAGAAGGCTGCCAAATGCCACAGATGATCTTAGTGGGTCTGTTCAATTCAGCAAAGGTTTCTACTCTGGGGATCTTCTTTCAAATACAGAGGCCCAAATCAGAAGCTCATAGAGGGGAGCTGTTCTTCCAAGATTCCAGATGTGTCTGCGAGACAACACGTTATGGGGCAAATTGATTTCACCCTTGGGAAACTGGAGATTTTTCAAAGTTATGTCTGTGAAGCTGGCTAATGCAATTCCCCATTAGTACATTAAAGTGTGCCCTTATTAATTCAAACATAAAGGCAACAAAATAAGCTGTTAAATTTAAAATATAATACATATATAATGAGGAGAATGTGTGAAAGCCTTATTCAAATGAAAATACAGGAGTGTTTGAACTACTGAGGTATCTTTTGTATTGAATTATGAGCATATGTAATAGATTTAATTATTAATTTCCCCATTGTTCTATGCATACAGACAGGGTTCAAGGCACAGTCATTCTCTGGCTTTCATAGATCTAATTTGTATAATTATTGCCTGAATAAAGAATTGCTCCAATTCCTAGCTCTCTTTCTTTCTTCCCCCTCTAAATACTGTTTCAATGCTGCATTCCAAAAGGCGAGCGGGCACCTGCCACTTCTTCAAAGTCAGCTGATCATTTGGAATGATGGACGGCGCGGCCGCCGATGACGTCTCCTTTCAAGTCTCTTTGTCTAAGTGAATTATCGTGCGTCCTTTTAATTTTATTGAACAAATTACATTTGTCAAGGTCTATCTTTGTAAATAAATGATAACTAGAGACACATGGATGTGTATTTCTGCTGTTGAAGGGCTCTTGTTCCATTTCTGGAAGCCAGATGAACATGGAACAAAGGGGAAACTTTCCTCTAAAAGCAATTATCTCTCTGCATTCCCATCAGTATAATTATATTGCAGGGAATTTTAAGGAGCTGTAGAAGTAGAATTGAATGCTTAAAACTGTGTTTGCTGAATTGCTATGCAAAAGTTGAACAGGCTGTACGGCATCAGACAAAATAGGAGCTCTCTCCTGGCCGCGTTTCCCTAAGTTCAGAGTGTGTCTCAAGGATGGAGGCTGTGTGGGGTGACCTCGGCCATGTTGAGGGGTCCTGTGTTTCTTGAACAGAATCTGTAATGACATTTCTGAATCCCGAGGGCTGTTGGCAAGGTGACTGGGAATGTAGACAATAAAACCACCCACTTCCAGTCTATTTGGAAGGCTTCTGATTTGCTGATTGCTCTCTGCCTGGAAGAGAAACCTACCAGCTTATTAAGTAATCCATGAACTGGGGGTGGAATATGGAGAAGGCTGTTCATAAGTGGTGGTGGCAGCACTTACTTTACCCCTAAAGCAAAGCGCGGCTGACTTGGAGAGGTATTGAACGTGGTTTGTGTGGCTGCTCTGTCAATAAGGCATGTCAGCAAGGGTCATTCCTTCATCACTGGCTTCCCCACAATTTCTTGAACTGTAGCTAAGAAGTAAATTGTACTATCTTATCACCGATGGCTCAGAAGTAGTATAGTGTGTGTGTGTGTGTGTGTGTGTGTGTGTATGTGTGTGTATGTGTGTATGTGTGTGTGTGTATGTGTGTGTGTGTGTACGCGCGCCTGCTAAATATCTTTCCTTAGGCTGTGAATCAAAAGCCTGGAAATGAGATCCCAAGTTCTAGTGGTTTGTATGAGGTAGGGGGCAGAGCACGGGTCAAGGGTGGAGTCTCAGCTGCAAGATGAAGAGTTTGGGCTGGGTGATCAAATGGCTTATATTTAGATATTATGACCAAGGTCATGAATTCTTGAGATGTTGACCTGCAACAGAAATGGCAGACAGAAAACCCCTGTACTGGGCTTGCATGGCTTGAGCTCATGAGTGTATTGAAGGGGAAAACAAGTTTGTTCTCCTAAGGAAACAAGTCTGGAGGTTTTGTTGTTTGTTGTTGTTTTTGTGGGGTGTCAGCAGTATTAGTAATAAGCAACCCAGTGAATCCAAACTCAGGGAGTCATCATGGATCAGGAAGCAAGTGATCCACACAGTAGGTTTAAAATCTTGACTTGGGCATCTCAGTCATAAATCCTCCTTTGTCAGGAGAACTTGAGCTCCTTTCTGATTCAGAGCATTGCACTAGCTGGGCAGGGATGGGCATGGATAGAGTCAGCCCACTCAGCTGAGAATGGAATCTGGCCCCCATAAAAAGCACTGGATACTCTGCCTGACACTGGAAATAGGAGTTCCCAGGTGCTCTGTGGTCGAGACCACAGTGATGAGTCTGATGGTGAGACCAGGCAAGAACATCCGAGGTCAGCGGACAGAGTGACAAGGGCCATGGAAGAAAGGGAAGCTTTCGGTGATGTCCAACAAAAGTGGGGGAGGTGAAGGGCAGTAGAAGAAAGAATATGGAGGACAAGGGGCATAGAGAGGCAGCTATGGTGAAGAGCTGCTCATGTTTCAGCATGGCGAGGAACAGGGTAAGGATGTGCAGGAAGGGAAGGAAGGTGGAGGAAATTAGCCTGTGTCAGAAGAGAAGGGCTGAGGGCCCACCTAGAAATATTCAGCTGCGCCGGGCGGTGGTGGCGCACGCCTTTAATCCCAGCACTCGGGAGGCAGAGGCAGGCGGATCTCTGTGAGTTCGAGGCCAGCCTGGGCTACCAAGTGAGATCCAGGAAAGGCGCAAAGCTACACAAGAGAAACCCTGTCTCGGAAAACCAAAAAAAAAAAAAAAAAAAAAAAAAAAAAAAATATTCAGCTGCACAGTGAATTTGAGGCCAGACTGGTATACACAATCATAGGAAAATGCTAAGGAGTTTCACAGTGCCATGGCTTGACTTCAATCACCCTGGCAGCCACAGCTGGTTACTGGGGTCCAGAGCCAAGTGAAAAAAGAAGTCCTTACTCAAAAGAGGTTCTTTTAGAGGAGCAAGAATGAGGTAGGCATGGAGGAACACACCTGTAGTCTATGCAATACTTTCTCATGAATGTTGTCTGCCATGTAACCCGCAGAGTACACATTGCTGGTACTGTACTTTAAGGTGGAGAAACAGCTCAGAGAGACCAGGCCTTCCCTCAAATTCCTCTAGGCAGAAGACTTGGAGTGAAGGCATTTGATTTCACTCTGCCATGAGAGCTGACCCTTTCATTTAACCCAGGTACCGGTGTAGGTGCTGAAGCTGTACTGGTGAAGGAGTCCAACCTGGGCTGCTCTCTCGTGGAGCCCAGACCTTCGTAGGGCCTAGGTGCCATGCTTCATCAGAAGTTCTTTTAGGGTCAAGAGCCAGTGTCAGACATTAATCCCTTTCTCTCGGTCTTTCTCTGTGTGGATCGCAGAGTTTAACCCACTTAACCTAACAACCTCCATCACATTTTGTTTTGTTTTATTTTTTGAGACAGAGTCTCACCATGTAGCCCCACCTGGCCTAGAACACATTATATAGATCTGAAATCCACTTGCCCCTGTCTCCAAGTGCTGGGGATGAAGGCATATGTCTCCATGTTTGGCATCATCTTGTTTTTGAGACAGGGTTTCTCACTAAGACCTGGGGCTCACTTATTAGGTAGGCTAAGACCTAAGTATCCTCCTGTCTCCGTCTTCCTAGCACTGAGATTACGAGTACCTGCCCGGCAATGGAATTGCACATGGGCCCAGGGAGCAGACTCAGATCATCATGTTTTTGTAGCAAGCACTCACAGACTGAGCTATCTCCCGAGCTCCTCTTAGCCCCCTTTTATGAATTCGAGTTTTATTAGTAAGGCACTCCTGACTATAGGGAGAGAAATAAACTGTGATATTGTATTATTGTCAATTTGACGCAATCTAGAATTGCCTGGGAAAGAGGCCTCTGGGCATGCTCGATTGTTTTAATTGAGATGGGAAGACTTGCCCACTGTGGGTGGTACCCTGGGCTGGAGATCTTAGACTGTACAAAATGGAGAAAGAGAGCTGGGTGCTAGTAACCCACTGCTTCTTGCCTGTGGGTGCAATGAGAACAATTCCCTCCATCCCTTCTGCTGTGGCTTCCTCACTACAGTGAACTGGGACATGGTACTGTGAACCAAAACAAGCAGCCCATCTTCCCTTTGAGCTTGCCAAGGCATTTGATCCCAGCAACAGAAAAGGAAACTAAGCCAGTGTCTTTACATGTATGTGTGCAATGAGAAAAATCAAACCCAGGACCCTTCATCTGCCCCTGGGTGGACAGAGGTCTGTTTAGTTCTTTCATTAAAAAAGAACATGTAATCTGTTTTAAGGAGCATTTTAGGTCTCAGGGCAGGAGCCTCAATGCTTCTGCTGAAGAATGGATTTCAAAGTATTAAATGGTTGCCGAGCAGTAAGTAGTTCAGATGACTGAATGATGTGGGTCAAAGACACTTAGCTGGCTAACATCTTGGCCCCTCCCTGTGTCTTGCACCATAGAAGACCATCAGGAATGCATGTGTTAAATAGCGTTAGCATGAACTGGTCTGCTCCTTGGTATACTGCACCAAGGAAGCCTTGACGGTGCCTCTGGGTGATAGAACATGAAAATGCAGGGTGTGGCAGGACTGAAGGGAGTCGGGAGACTGGGATCCTTTCAAAGGCTTTATCTCATGGGAAATGACAGAATACCATCACTGGAGGCCACCCACTTAGACAAGGGAAAGTTGAGTCATCTCTCTTTATAGGATGTAGCCTGGTCCTGATGCTATCTCTGTATCTGCCATGTGCCAGAGAGTCTGGCAGAGTGCTGTGGAGACCAGCAATCCAGCAGGTCTCCTGCACACAGGTCTGCACACTGTAGCAGGTCTGGACCTGGTGGTTAGCATGTCCGATCTGATAGCTAGGAAGGGGCTAGAAGGATGAGAAGGTGGCTGGTTGGCCTAGTGGACTGGTCTGTAAAAGGTCTGGGGACTTCAGGGAGTCAGGAAGCCCGATGAAACCCACAAGGCGTCATGGAATGCAAAGACCATCCTGGTACTAACTGGAGGCCCCTGATCCCTTCATTATCCTTCTAGGCCTAACAGGGTTGCTACCACATACCCAGAGCTTCTTTGTTGTGGGTTTGCTCCATGTGGTGTGACTCTTCCTAATGGCGTTTCTTTTCTGGCCTGTGGCATCATTGTGTTGTCAAAAAGTCCCTCTCCATAGTAACAGACGCTTCCACAGAGTTAACACCTCAACCCATTAAGCTTAAGTGCTTTTCAAAACATTTTATTATTGGCTGAGTGTTTGTGAAGCAGCTTACCTTGGACTCCGACCGCTTTGAGAGGTTTGTGCCTGTCTTGTGTTCCGTAGGAGCTACGCCACACACCCAGCACATTCCAGCATCCTTCCCTTGCATCTCTCTTCAGTGTGGGAAGGCCATGAGGAATTTTGAATTCAGTTTTTATATTGTTACTTAGCAAATTGAAAGAGGGATGCCTCTTTCAAAAGGCGAATTTTTAGATTGTATTTTGTGGGGCTGGAGAGATGGCTCAGTGGTTAAGAATGCTTGCTGCTCTTGCAGAGGACCTGAGATCAGTTCCCAGTACTACCTCTAACTGCCTGTAACTCCAGCTCCAGGGGATCTGACATTCTTTTCTGACTTCTGTAGGCACTGATGCACATATGCACACACATTTACATGAATTTCTAAGGCCTTTAACATTTTTTACTTTACATGGATAGAATATGCCCACTTGGGTCAGACGATGAACTCACAGCAGTGAGGGCTGTTGCTCTATGTAGGACTGAGTTGTCACTTTCTGCATCCTTTCTGGTCCTTTCCCAATATCAGGTTCTCTAACTTTCTTGGTAGATAAGCATCTGCATATGTATT